TCTGATTGGCTGAGAATTAGGAGCTGGAAGTTTAATTGGCTGAGAATCAGAAGAGTCGTTTAATTGGCTAAGGAGCAGGGAGATAATCTAGTTAGCTGAGAAGCAGGAGGGTATGTGATTGGCTGAAGGGAAGGAAGCTAGCATTTGATTGGCTGAGGAGTGGGGCAACGGGATTGCATTGATGGGGGCAGAGGCTGGAGTCTAGCTGGGTGAGACAGGAGAGTTTGGGGTTTGCTTGGCTGAGCGTCCGGGAGCCCTGAATTGGCTGCTGTGGCAGAGCGGGGAGGTTGCAACGCAGCCAGCAATGACCGGAGGGCCCTAGGCCAAGTCCCGTGGAGCTGCTTCCCAAACCCTGTCCCGGGCCTGGGGGAGGGAGCTGGAGTTGACCCGTGCACACTGGGGAAGGGGAGGTGCGCGGCGGGGTGGCGGGGCTGGGCCACTCGGGGCAAAGGCCAGAGAGCTCAGCGACCCACTTCCCGTCCTCCCTCACGCCTCCTCCAAGTGACCTGTCCACAGGAAGCGGCGTCCACCTTCCTTCCCTGCCTGCGCTGACTCCGATCCGCCCCGCTCCTTCCATTGCCCATTTCAGGGGGACATGTGTCCCTGCCGGGTCTCAAGCCATCTCCCTGGGGCCAGTTCAGGATGGTCTCAGCGACCCTTCTGACTCAGCCTCCCTAGTGCTAGGATTATAAACATGTGCCATCATGTCCGGCTCCTTGTTTTGGGGGTATTTTTAAAGCATTTTATTTGGGGGGCAGGTATCAGGAATTGAACTTAGGACCCTGCACTTGCCAGGCAGGAGCTTGTGCCGCTGAGCTGTATCCCTAGCCCACCTGTGGTATTTTAAATTTTTTCCCCAGTACTGGAGATTGAACCTAGGGCCTTTACACCCTATGCAGTTCAGGCTGGCCTTGAGCTCACTGTGTAGCCCAGGCTGGTCTCGAACTTGCAACGATCCTCCTGCCTCAGCCTCCCGAGTGCTGGGATGACAGGTGTGCGTCACCAAGCCAGGCCTCAGCGCTTTTGAATATTTTAAAAACAATTTTTTGTTTTGTTTGTTTTGGCTTTTTGAGAGAGGGTTTCGTTTTGTAACTCAGGCTGGCCTTGCACTGGAGTCAACCCTCCTGCTTCAGAGATCACAGCATGCGCCACTGCGCCTGACTGTTTTATTTGGAGACAAAGTCTTGCTAAATGGCTCTGTTGCTCAGGGTGGACTCAAAACTTGCAGTCCTCCTGCCTCAGCCTCCCAGAGTGCAAGGATGATGGGCCTTCATGTTTGACTTTTTTGTGGTACTGGGGTTGTCTTTCCGCTCTCGCTCCTCTCCCCTTCTTCCCTATGTCCCCATTGAAAGCTCTAACGTGAACACATCCAGGCCCCAAACCTCGGGGCGCTGTGAGCGACTCTGTTCTCTGGGTCCTACAACCAACCTATCACCAAGTTCGGTCAGTTCCACTTCGACAACAAATCCTCCATTTTACCTTTCGTCCAACTCTCATTTTCTTGGAGGCTGGGTGCTGGGAGTGCACTCTCTCCTCCTTAAATCTGTCCACTTTCACTCAGGGGAGCCTGTTAAAACCGAAGCCATGAGCTGGACTTGGCACATGCCTGTAGTCCCAGCCCTTGGGAGGCTGAGGCAGGAGGATCGCAGTGAGTTCAAAGTCAGCCTGGGACTATGGTTTCAAAAAAACCAAAAACACAACACAATACAGCAAAACCAGAAAGCAGGGAGCCAGGCCTAGACTTCCTCTACCTAGTATTTTTTGTGGTTCCCGCCTTCCTCAGGATAACAACCTAAAAACCCTCTCAGTAGCCTGCTAGAACCTGCGCCACCCAGCTCATCACCCCACCACCTTCCTCTCTCACTCTTTCCCTTGCTCCCCCCACCACAGCTCCACTGATCTCTTCTCTGTGTCTTAAGGCATGTTCCAGCCCCAGGGCCTTTGCACAAACTGTATCCCCTCTTTCTCCCCTTCCCATGCAGCCAGCTCACATCCCATCCCTGCACACAGGGCTTCCCCATCCCTTACCTTGCTGGATATTCCTCTGTAGCAATTCTATGGAGTCATGGTGTTTGTTGAGTGAATGAATGTTATATTCCTCCCAAGAGAAGTAACTGCTTCAGCTTCCTCCCACCCCACTCTGATCTCAGCCCTCTGAGACCTGCGCCCCGCGGATGCCGGTGGCACCGCGCCTTTCTAGCACCTGAGTCCTTGACCTCTGTAGGGCAGCGATGACACTGTCACCTCCTTCCCTAATCACCTCCACCTGCTGCTGCCCGTCCTCCTTCCACATGCAGCTGCCACCAATCCCCCAGTCTCTCCATCTCCCTCCCTCCCCAGTGACCCCATTCACCAGCCACCAACGCCCACAGCAGCCGCAGCTGCTCAGCGCAGGTGACTAAGACTTCAGGCTTCTCACCAGGGCCAGCTGTCCCCTGGGCGCCACCCTGACCATCCCACAGAGCTTTCGGACTGAAGGTGATGGGCCGGGGCTGTCCACACTCAGCGCTGCCCACACGTAGCCCTGGGTTATCCTCTGTCCCCACACAGGTGGGAGCCCTTCACCCATGTGACAGCCAAAGTATTTCTGGACATTGCTAAAATCTGCCACAGCTGGCCTGGATTCCATGGGCCACTCGGCTAAGTTAGAAAGATTCTAGGCAGTGAGACAGGGCTGGGCCCAGGAAGGAGCCGGGGCAGAAGATGAGCCACCCTGCAACCTTGGAGGAGACAGACGCCCCTGCTGCAGGCAGATCCCAGGACAAAAGGTAAAGCGGACACACCCACATCGTAAGGATTGGTGTTCTAAATAGGTCTGTGTCACCCCGAGAAAGTCAGGAGTCGCCAGCCCAACCCTGGGAAGAGTCACTGCTCTCTAAGCTGCCGCTTGCTGCTTCCCTATTTGCCCCTGATTTAATCACTTTTATCTGAGCAATTAATCTTATTGGTTGACCGCAGTCCTGCCCCACGTCAGGTCCACATTGCGAGTTCCCAGGTTCTCCCCACCTTGGGCCCTCATGATTTAACTCTATAAAAGTCCTTGGAAAAGACAGAGTCTTTGGCAGCCTACTCGGGACTTCTCTCAAACAATTTTCTTTCTCTCAATAAATATATTCTTCTCTTAACTGCTGTTGTTCCTTTTTTTTGAGCGGGAGTCTTTTTGAGACACGGTCTCATTGGCCTTGAGTTCGCTTTGTAGCTCAGGCTGATCTCAACTCCCAGAGATCCTCCTGCCTCAGGCTCCCCAGGGCTGAGATGACAGGTGTGCACCACCACGCCCGGCTGACCCCTGCTGTTCCTAAAATTCATCTCTCAAGTTTAGAGAGCATGAACTGGTACCCTACATCCAGCCGGTTGGGAGTTTCGTTTCTCCAGATAAAAAGGGCTGGCATCATATGCACAGCTCGTGCCCTGGGTCACCTTGTCACGTGCCTCTTGGTCACCTCAGTTCTCCGAGCTCTCTCTAGAGGGAAGGAGGAAGGAGGCCTACGTCCAGCCGTCTGTCTGTCCGTGGGTCCGTGTGGGATTTGCTTAGGGACACAGAGCAGGAGGTCTCCTCCTGGCCGCAGCCACCCCACCCTTCTCTCCGGCTCTCCTCAGCCCTGGCCAGTCCCTCTGGGACCATCTGCCTTTGTGAATTTCGGGGTTTTCCAGGGTCCCAAAGGAGCTCTTGTTTGCCAGCATCATTGGGAAAACTAAGTCCCTGTGCTCTAATAAAATAACCCAGCCACAGGAGCTCCCCCGCCCCTCTAGCACCGTTCATGGCTCCCTGTGCCCACCGGCCACTCAGGTCCCCCTCGAAGCCCTTGGCAGCAGGCCTCCGGGTGTCCGCACCTCTCATGCCCCAGGCCAGGGAAAGCCACCTCCGAGCCCCCCCTCCCAGCTTCTCCGGGCCGAGCCCCGCCTCCTCGCCGGGACCTGTTGAAATCCGCCCCGCCCCGCGGCCCAGCTCAGAAGGCACATCCTTCACGTAGCCGCGCCTGCCGCCCCCGGGCCTGCTCGAGCAGCCAAGCGTCCATTACTTTGACATCCTCTTCTTTTCAAAACCATGTTCTCCCACCCCAGGCCCCGCAGAGAGACATCTAAACCAGGCCCTGGCGCGGGGTTGGGGGCCTGCTGACCCTGACCCGCGCTTGCTCAGGCCACCACCGGCACAACGCTGGTGTCAGCAACATCCGAGGGCAGGACTGAGCTCCTAGCACTCCTGGGCCAGCCTAGGACCAGACCCCATGCCAAAGGGCGTCTGGCCGTGGGCGGGGAGCGGAGCTGGCCCGGTGCTGCTGCAGGGGGCGCCTGGAGTCTCTGTGGGGGGCTGCTGGCTGCAGCACCCCAAGAGGGTGCAGCTCTGGTCTCAAATCAGAGACTCAGAAGGGGTGTTTCCCGAGGACTGGGTGGGGTGGGTCCAAGCACTCAGGAGGCTGAGGCAGGAAGACTGCGGTGATTCGAGGCCCTGTGTCAGGGCCGGGGATACAGCTCAGTGGCAGTGTGTCTGCCTGGCAAGCTTGAGGTCCTCAGTTCGATTATGCCCCCCAAAAAGGCCGCGTCTCAACAAACAAGCCAATGAACCAAGGGCTGCTAGGGTCTGGGAGTTTCTGGGGGCCCCAGAGGAGGCTCTGGGGTTGAGTGGGATCTTGTACAAGTGCAAGATGAGGAACTGGGGAGCCGCCCCTGAGTAGGGGGTCCTGAGGGGTGCAGCAGAGGGCCAGGGAGGGGTGGGGCACAGGGCGCTGATGGAAACAGCGGGCAGGAGGGCGGGCGGTCTGCTGCTGTCCGTCTGTTTGGTGGTCCTTCCTGCCTCTGCTTCCACCTCCCCGCGGCTCCTTTCCTCTGCCTCCCTGTCTGCGTCTCCTCGTCCGGTTTCCGGTTTCCATCGCTGGTTCTCCGGGTCCAGGCCGGCCAGACGGGGGCGTGGCCCTGCGAGGTCTGGGGGCGTGGTCTGGGAGTCTGGGCGTGGCCCGGAGGGACATGGGCGTGCCCGGGGCGGGGCTCCGGGCTTGGCCGGGCGGGGTTAAAGGGCCGGGCCGGACCGCGCCGTCAAAGCCGAGGTTGCAGCACCGGCAGATCAAGATCCAGGCTGGAGCACACGGCCCGCGGGGTGAGTGCACGCGGAGGTTCTGCGCCGTCATTGGAGCTGGGGCTGGGGAGCAGGGACGCTGCAGAGGGGGCCCCGGGTCCCAGCCCCCTGAGTGCCTCCAGGACCCTCGAGGGGGTGGTGTGACCTCAGCCGCTGCTGCTTTCGTGCACGCCTTTTATTTTTATTTTTTCTCTCCTTTCCGCGTGCATCTTGGAGTCCTGAGGGCGTCTCCTGCCTGCACCTCGGTGGTGGATAGGGGCTCACTGGGACCCCCGTCTCCCAGCCAGAACATCCCAGAGGGCCCTGCGCTCCAGGCGGTGCCACCTGAGGGCTCGCAGCTGTCACCCTGGCATGCTGTTGCTGCCTGCTCTGCAGGACAGGGCCTGCCAAGTACCCCTCTGTGCAGACCAAGTCCCAGCATGGGTTGCGGGGCGAGGACATCTGTCCACCAGATGCTATCTGGGATCCCAGGGCCGATCCTCTTCCCTTAAGCCAGCCTAGGGACTCTTGTAGAGCGGGGCCCAAGCTTGTCATTTCTGGGGACTCTCAGACAGGAGTCAGGGAGGCAGACAAGGAGGCAGAGGTGGAGGTTTTATAAAAAAGGAGTTGTTCTGGCTTCCGAGTGGGGTGAGGCTGGAGGTACCCTGTCTGTCTGCCCTGTACCCCCAGACAGTATCACTCCCCATCCATGAGGTGAGGCCCGCCGCTCCCCCACTGCAGGCTCCTGGAGCTGGGCCAGGGCAGAGCCGGTGAAGTCAAACTCCTCCCCAGAACTCACCTCTGAGCCGCTCCAGGAGAGGAGGAACCTCACCAGCACCCCCCAGCCACCCATGTCGTAGCAGAGGGTCCTGGGGCCACAGCAGGGAAGGGCATGCTCCGGGACACCCAGTGGGGGAGCTGGGATTTGAACAAACAAGCCCTGTCTGACCCCCAAACCCTGGGCCACTTTCTGATGGCCCTGCATGCCCATAGAGCCCGGCTTGGGTTTCTGGTTGGTAACAGGAGCTCCGGGCTGGTATCTCGGTGGCGGCCTGGGTTAATATCTGCGGAAGGGCTTAGGTGACCTGGGAGACATTCAGACAGACTGGAAGGTGGCCTCTCCTCCCTGACAAGCCTTGGGGTCTGTGCTCCCAATCCCCACTGGCCAGGGGACAATAAGGGTTATGATGGCAGTCATAGCAACAAGGGGAGTTCTCTGAGCAGGGGTTTTCTGTGTGTCCGGCAGTGAGTGAGCCGAGCCTGTCACCGCAGCCCGTGAGGTGGGGGAATGTGGTTCTGGCCTGCACAGAGAGGTGCAGCGCCTGCCTGAGGCCACACAGCATAGTAAAGCTTCTCTAAAGCCTGCCGCCCAGGCACAGCCACCCTCACAGTGTAGAGACATGAGCACACTCCAAGGATCTGGATTACCAGGGCCTGAAACGCCTTCTCTGCCAGCGTCTCCTTTGCACCGAGAAAACTGCCAGGCAAAGGCTGGGTTTACAGCTCATGTGGCATAAGCGCCTGCCTGGCAAGCGCAAGGTACCAAAAGAACCAGAAAACTGCGGGCATCCTGGTGCGGTGGCACATGCCTGTCATTCTTGTACTTGGAGGCTGAGGCAGGAGGACTGACACAAGTGTGAGGCCAGCCTGGGCTACATAGGGAGACCCCGACTCAACAAAAAGACAGAGGAAAGCAAGCAAGCCGCGGCCCTCAGAGCTTCAGCGAGATCCACCGGCCCTGGCCTGATTCCACTTGGCTCTGGGCTCCCTGAAGCATCTTCCCAGAACCCCAGGAATAGGGGTGCTCAGAGCAGAGGACTCCTAGAGCCCCTCTCCCTGCAGACCCTCTGGGGTGCTGTGTGGGGGTATGAGTTGCTGTGTGGGTGAGGCAACCCTTTGGTGCTAAGGAGGGGGAGAGGAGGGGAGAGGAGGGGGAAGGGGAGGGCAGAGTGGGGTGGGGGGCCGGGTTGCCCAGACCCAGGGAGGCAGTGGGGAGCCAGGTTGGGATGTGGGCTCATAGGGCCAGCCTCCCTGTGCTCCTGCTTCTCAGGAAGAGGCATGGATGTGGGACCAGGGACCAGGGACCAGCAGGGGTCCCTGTTCTGGGTTTTCTGCGGGAGCCCAAGCACCTTGCAGAACAAGTCCGGGTCTGGCAGTGGAGGTGGAGGCGGCAGGTGGACCTGACAAACCAGCGTGCCCTGGGCGTGGGCTCCCCACCTTGGCTGCTAGATAAGGTGCCTGGCCCGGGCGGGGTGGGCAGGGCCGCAGCCTCTTCCAGGGCGGGGCTGTCCGGCGCCTCCTTGGCATGGGGATGCAGGAGGGCTGGCACTGGGCGGGGGTGCACAGCACCCACCCACAGGCCTCTGAGGGTGCCGGCTTGGAGTTTCTTGGGCTGACGTGTACATTGGGATGTGGGGTCCCAGGCTTCCGCTCACAGCCCCCTGCCCAGCAGCCTTAGGGTGCAGGTCCTGTATTATTATTATTATTGGTGGTGGTGGCTGTTTTTGAGGCAGGGCTTCATTATATGGTTCAGGCTGGCCTTGAGCTCACTTTGTAGCGCAGGCTGGTCTCGAACTCGCCAGGATCCTCCTGCCTCAGCCTTCCAGTGCTGGGTTGGCAGGCATGCGCCCCCACACCAGGCTTGTATTATTATTAATGATTTTTATGGCGGTGCTGGGGGTGGAGCTCAGTGCCTCACATATACCAGGCTAACGCACTCCCGGGGTGCCAGGTTCCCCTCCTGCCGCTGTCAACCCGCTTTGCAGCTTCAGACCAGCCTTGAGCTCACTCTGCAGCCCAGGTTGACCTCAGAGGCCCCAGGGCTGGGCTTACAGGTATGTGTGAGCCCACACACCAAGCTTGAGGTTGCATTTTTAACAGGTGATATAGCTCAGTGCAGAGCACACGCCCGCCACACACAGGCTCCAGGGTTTGGTCCCCAGCACCAGTAAGAAAAAAAAATCAGTTTAAGTCAACCAATAACAAATGCCGGTAGGGTTGTGTGTATGGGGGGTAGACGGGTGCAACCACTGTGGAAATCAGTGTGGGAATTCCTCAGGAAACTAGGATGGAGGCCCCATTTGGGCCAGCTGTTCCCCTTCTGGGTATCTTCGTAGCAGAAGGGGAAACATCGTACCGCAGTGGTATATGTACACCGTGTTCATAGCAGCACAATGTTAACAGCCAGATCTTGGAAGCAACTCAAATGCCTATGAGCCAAAGAATGCAGGAAAAAGATGTGCCCCAGAGATACTCACCCCTCCCCTAGTTAGGGCCCCAGCCCCAGGGATACTCACCCCTCCCCTAGTTAGGGCCCCAGGCCCTGGGATACTCACCCCTCCCCGAGTTAGGGCCCCGAGGCCCTGGGATACTCACCCCTCACCGAGTTAGGGTCCTGAGCCCCAGGGATACTCACCCCTCCCCTAGTTAGGGCCCCGAGGCCCTGGGATACTCACCCCTCCCCTAGTTATGGCCCCGAGGCCCTGGGATACTCACCCCTCCCCGAGTTAGGGCCCCAGGCCCTGGGATACTCACCCCTCCCCGAGTGAGGGGTCTGAGCCCCATCTGTGAAGTGTCTGCAACTGTCAGAGCGTGGAAGGAATCTTGTGGGGACCTCCTGCCAGGGACCTCCTGCTCCCTGCCTGACTTCCTGGGCAGTGTCACCCAGCCTTTATTTATTTATTTTTAATTTTTTTGTCTTTCTGAGCCAGGGTCTCATTATGCAGTCCAGGCTGGCCTTGAGCTCACTTTGTAGCCCAGGCTGGTCTCGAACTCACAGCGATCCCTTCTGCCTCAGCCTCCCAAGTGCTGGGATCACAGTTGTGTGCCACCACAGACTTCTGATCAGTCATCTGATGACTAAGTGATCTCCTCCTTCCCTGGAGAGCCAGGGTCCTGCCGGTGCCCAGGGCACGGACTGAGTCTCTCATAGCTGGGCCTCGGAAGTGTCTGCTGACTGACTGCTAAGAAACCCAAGGCTTTCCCAAGGATGTGGCCTGGGGGAGCTGCTCAGAGCCTGATCACCTTGGAGGGCGCCTGCGCTGCTGACTTTCTGAGGTCTGAAAGAGACTGGCTTACTGCGGTCCAGCTGTTAAACCAGGGGGACATCTCTGTCCTCAGTTCAGAGCGCCCACCTCTGGCATGGGACTGGGGGCCTCTGCTTTGGTCTGGAGGCCTCTCTGTGAGGTCCCTGCCCTGTGCACGTCCCAGGGTCCAGCATAGGGAGCCTGCCACCCCTCCACCGGTCTCCGATTGCTTCTCTTTCTGGAGGGAGGTTTGCCGAACAGTTCAGGCCAGCCTTGAACTCACTCTGTGGGCTGACCTCCAACTGCCAGGGAATCCTCCTGCCTCAGCCTCTCGAGCTGCCGGATGACAGGTGTGATCATCACGCCTGGTGTGACGGTCCTGGGCTGAGGGTTTCGAGGCTTGGAGTGCAGGGTGCTGAATCCTTTCCCCGCTCTGCCGGCTGGGCTGCTCACTCACGGTGTGGTCTTGGTCCCACCAGGAGCTGACCCTCAGAGAAGGACCGAATGCTGGGGACTCTTCTGGACCACTGAGGGACGGCGGGCCTTAGAACGGAGAGCAGGTAGGGAGACCAGGCATGCACACACACGGCAGGACAGCCTGTTTCAGAACCACCCGGAGGTGGGGACGACCCCGGTGGCCAGCAGTAGAGGGGCGACCCACAGAAGAGGGTGCATCACTGACCGGCATGCACAGCTAAGCAACGATCCTCACCAAAGCCTGGGAGAAGCCTGCGGGCGCTTGACTGAGTCAGAGAAGCCAGGCTCAGGAGGCCACGAAGGCCCAGCCCCGAGTCCTGGAGCAGCCACAGGCCCAGGTCCACAGAGGAGACTGGCACCCACAGGGGCCCCGGGAAGGAGGAGCGGGAGTGGGGTGGACTCCAAGGCCAGCCTGGACTGCCTAGGGAGACCCTGTCTCCAAAAAACAACCAAACAAAGCAGAACAAAACAAAAACCAGTGAGAACAGCAGAGCGCAGTGGTGCACAGCTCTTAGCCCAGGCACTCAGGAGGCTGAGGCAGGAGAATCACCAATTCGAGGCCAGCCCGAGAAACTTAGTGTGATGCTGTCTCAGTACAACTGGTTTGGGAGGGGTCATGTTTTTTAAAGACAGGGTCTCGCTGTGCAGTCCAGGCTGGCCTTGAGCTCACTCTGTAGCCCAGGCTGGTCTCCAATTTGCAAGGATCCTCCTGCCTCAGCCTCCTGCGTGCTGGGATGGCAGGCGTGCGCCCCCACGCCTGGCTTCAGTACAGTTTTTACAGGGCTGGGGTGTAGCTCTGTGGTAAAGCACACCTGGCCTCGGTCTCTTAACACCGAAAAAGAGCAAAGATCACAGCTCAAGGGCACAGAGTGGGCCTCACGGAACCATGCGCCCGGCTGGCTGAGGTCACAGCTGGGGGTGAACCGGGCCACCGGGTCCTGCCTCGTGTCAGGCCCACCGTGCCGGCCCCCACGGTCCCCCGCGTGGGCGCAGGGGTGGCCGGGCTGCTGATGCCGCCCCGCCGTGTGTCCGCAGGATGCTGCCCGTCACTCACCACCTGCTGGACCTGCTGGGCCTGGAGAAGACGGCCTTCCGCGCCTGCGCCGTGTCCGCCCTGCTCCTCGCGCTGCTCTTTTCCCTCTTCCGCGGGCTGCTGGGCTTCCTGCAGCTGTGCTGGGCCTTCCGCCGCACCTGCCGCCGCCTGCGCTGCTTCCGCCAGCCGCAGCGCTGCCACTGGCTGCTGGGCCACCTGGGCATGGTGAGTGCGGGGCTGGGGGGCGCCGGCGGGTGCTGGGGCTGCAGCGGGGCTGCCGGCCCCCGAGAACCTGCTCGGGGTCGCATGTGGTCCTGTGTTAAGTTTAGAGCGAGGGTCTCTCTTTGGAGTCCAGGCTGGCCCTGAACTCACGGACAGCTTCCCGCCTCAGCCTCCCCAGTGCTGGGATGACAGGTGTGAGCCACCAGGCCTGGCTGGCATTTCTTTTTTTTTTATCTTATTTTTTTTTTATCGATACCAGAGATCGAACTCAGGACTGCCTGCTTGCAAAGCAGGCGCTTATGCTGCTGAGCTAAATCCCCAGCCCCTATCTTGATGGTTTTCACTCTTCCCCTGGCCCCTCCCTCCTCCCCAGGTCCCCTTCTCACGCGTTTCACTTTGTTCTTGCTTTTAGTTTGAGGCAGGGCCTCACTATGTGGTCCTGGGTGGCCTTGAATTTATGGGGATCCTCCTGCCTCAGCTTCCTGGGCAGGTGACTGTCCCCACAGAGGCCCGGGGAGGTGGAGCAGGGCCTGGGCCTGGGTTTAGACCCGGGCTGCCCCCCCGCCCTCCCTCAGCGCGCCCTCTGCCACCTCAGCTTTTTAGTTGGGGCAGGTGGGACCATCTCAGCAGCCACCCGGAGGTCAGAGACGAACCTAGATCTCGAGGTGGGGGAGCTTGGTGGGTTTGGACTCCGGCCTCTCCCTGCTCCACTCACCCGGCCGTCCACGGCTCTGTGGGATTCAGGGACCACTCTGCTGGCCCAGGTCTCTCCCTGAGCTCTGAGGTGGCCTTTGGAGAAGCAGATGGCGGCAGTGGTCGTGTGCTTGTGTTTTAGAGCCCTGGGTTCGAGTCCTGCCTCTGCTCTGTACTGCTTGTGTGACTTTTTGCAGGGAGGGGGTAATGGAGATGGAATCTCTGCCTTCAGAATGCCCGAGGCCTTTCGGGATTTTGAGGCAAGGTCCTGCTAAGGGGCCCAGGCTGGCCTGTCCAACCTTACCCAGCTTGCTCTATGTGACCTTGGCAAACCTATTACCCTCCCCGTGCCTCAGTTTCCCCTCTCACCTATCAGAGGTTGTAATAATCTCGCGGGTCTGTGCTTTGGATTCCCTGGAGTCGTGGTGGTCACCTGTGTGACCCACGGCGGAGGATGGGTACCCTCGGCTGCTGGCTTCTGGGGAAACCGGAAAGATCAGAAGATCTGGAGACAGTTTAAGCCTCTGGCTGGGCTGGACGTCCTAGCAGGAACAGGACATAGATCCTGGTTAGTAACTCTGCGTGCTGGGCCACCTCCTGCTCTGTGTCAGTTTATAGAAAGGACTTAGGCCCCCTGTGGTCGCCCACCAGGGTGGTTCCAGACATGTCCCCTCCCCGATCCATCAGCCCTCGGCCGAGCTCTTCAGAGGGTCCCCGCCGTGCGCCTCCCTGGGTGTCCACTACCAGCCAGAGAGCAGCTGGGGTCCAGGACCCGGTTCAGTTGCAAGGATAGGCACCAGGGCTCCAATTCGCCACCTGCGTGACCTTATCGAAGCTGTGCCTTCCGTCCAGACTCTTCCTCCCTGCTGGGTGAACTTCTATGCGATCTCCGAAGCCCAGCCCTGGCATTTCTCTCCAGGAAGCTCTCAATGGCTAAGGCCGTGGGTTCTGCCCAGCGTCAAGGCCCCAGGTGTGGTGGGTGCAGCTGTCTTCAGGGCCCAGGAGGTCTGGGCGAGGCCAGTTTTCCTGGGCGTGGACAGGCCAGGGCCTCACCTGGAGAAGAGGGGACGCTGGGCACAGCCGGCTTGCTCATCGGCTCACACCAGGAACCTGCCCCTGGAGCCCGGCCCTCCCTGGGTGAAATGGCCCTGGCAGCTGGGTGTGGCCGGGCGAGCCTGGAGCCCCAAAACCCTGGAGAGGCGGGAAGATCACAAGTTCAGGCCCAACCTGAACACGGAAACCCAGCTGGGTGGGAAGGGCCTGGGTTCACACTCTGGTACCCGCCTGCTGCATGATGGGTCTCCCCTGGTTTACGGGTTCCCAGGTTTAGATCCAAGCTCAGACAGATTGGATCACCGCATTTTCCCAGCAGCTGACGGTGACCTTGAGCTGGGATTCAGGTGACACAGAGGCGCCTGGGTCCCCACCGCTGCCTCAGCCAGTGCGCCTGAGTTTTGGAACTGGGGAGCTGGTGGTCAGGTGCCTGGTGCCTCTGTGGTGGGGTACCAGGGCCTGCCACACCTCCTGGGCCCCTTTTTTGGGTGCAGGGGTGACACTGCCGCCCGTTTCCAGCTGTGAGCCCCTCCCCCTTCTCACTGCCAGCACCCGGATTCTAGGGGCTTCTCAGAGCTGAGGGTTTCAGCCCCCAGGGCACCCCCAGCCTGTGCTGACCCCAGTCCCTCAGCCTCGGGGGCTGACTCAGACCCGGGGCCAGCGCCCCACCCGTGCTCTGAAACTCTGCCACGGCCGGAGCCAGGGGCCCCACGGCAGTACCATCCAGCACTCACCATTTCTGGTGTCTTCCCTTGTGTCCTTACCCATGTTTGAGGGACCTTTCTGTTAACCCGCCCTGGCAACCTTGCTTCTGGGCTGCTTTTTTTTTGAGACAGGATCTCGATGTCGAGCTCAGGCTGGCCTGGAGCTCACTCTGTAGCCCAGGCTGGTCTCGAATTCGCAGCGATCCTCCTGCCTCAGCCTCCCAAGTGCTGGGAAGACAGGGGTGAGCCATCGTGCCTGGCTCTGACATCCACTTTTTAAACAGCAAATATTTGATAAACACCAACCCTCACCACTCCTGAGTTTCCTGTTACTAATGCTCAGACGGAACCCAGGACCCAGGCAAGCACTCTGCCACTGAGCCACACCCCAGGTATCTACCCCTGCACTTTCTGTAAGTGACAGGATCCTGCTCTGGTGTCCAGGCCAGCAGAAGTGACCCTCCTGCCTCAGCCTCCCAGGCAGCTGGGACTGCAGGCGGCTGCCGCCATGCTGGGCTTATCTTTCTTTACTAAGCCCGGAGTGTTGAAGCCCACGCTGGGCTCTTGCTCTCTTTATTTCCCCCCACCCAGGGAGCTCGGGCTGGTCCCCCACTTCTCAGACAAGGAGGAGAAACTCAGAAAGATGCAGCCAGCTCCCCACAATCGCTCAGCATTTCTGGGGTTGTGTGGAGGCCAGGGAGGCGGCAGGAAGTAGGGTACAGGGAGGCTGTGCTGGGCACATGGGCACCGTCTCTGCCTTCTCTCCCCAGTACCTTCCAAACGAAAAAGGCCTTCAAGATGAGAAGAAGGTGCTGGATGAAATACACGATGTGATCCTGGTGTGGGCCGGGCCCGTCCTGCCAGTGTTGGTTCTGGTGCACCCCGATTACATCAAGCCTGTTCTCAGTGCCTCAGGTGGGTGAGCAGTGACCAAACCATCGAGTCCCACACTCTGTCTGAACTTCTAGACGGGTAGGATCTCTAGAAGAAGGGTCATTTGAGTAGGGCTTTGAGGAATAAATAGGAATTCACCAAAGCTGGAATGGCAGTGTGCATTATGGGAGCCATGGGGGCAAAAGTGTGACAATGCCTAAGACAGCCGTGAGCACTGAGGGGTCAGGGCCAAACACGTTCGGCTCAGTCATTCACTTAAGGGTTTGTCAGGCAGTCGTTACTCAATTCCAGATCCCGGCACTCCTGTTCTTTGGGTTGTTGTATTTCTGCCCTGACCAGGAATCTTGGTGGCTCATCCTGCTGGCTGCCCGTGTGTTTCCTGCCTCTCCTGGAAGGTGGTGGGCGGGGCCGTAGCTCTTCTCTGCGGTCCACGCCTGCCCCAAGGTGTGGGCATCTCAGGGTGTGCTGGGCAAGCTCCTACTCATCCTGAAGCACCCAGCGGCAGTGATCCCTCGCTGGGCTTTGCTGAGAGAACATGGCTCTGCCCCCTGGAGTTTCCGTCCTCAGTGCCAACCTTTCCGGGCTGGGTGTGTCTGTGTCCGTCTCTGTCTCCTTTGCATGTGGGGTCCTGGCCCCTGGCATGGCCGTGATGGAACCTCAGGGGCACCGGGCTGTGCCTCCCTTCTTCACCCCTGTGTAGTGCAGGGTGGTCTTGAACTTGTGGAGATGCTCCTGCCTCAGCCTCTGGAGTGCTGAGAGCACAGGGGTGCGCCCCCTGCCTGGCTAAGCAGCCTCTTAGTTCCTCTCCTTCCCCCTCCCCTCCCTCCCCTCCCCCATCCTCTCCCCTCTCCCACCCTCCTCCGCCCCTCCCTTCCGCACCCTCCCCCTCCCTCCCCTCCCCGTCCTCGGAACACGGCTCCCTGAGCTCCCCCTGTCCCCTGTGGGTTTCCCGGCAGCACACCACAATGGCCGGGACCTGGACCTGGCACCCAGGCTCTGCACTCTCCTCCTCTCCTCGCTCCTCAGGGCTCAGGCTGGCAGGCAGGCGGGAGTGGGGCTCCGGTCAGGGCCTCCCCTCCGCCCTGACCTGGGGAGGAAGCAGGGTTGGGTCCAGGTCCGCGTGCGGTCATGATGGCTCGGGTTTTATGGCGCTCTTTGTTGGTGAGAGCGCCACACAGCCCAGGCAGCCCTGCAGTGAGCGCCTGCGGGATCCGCAAGCTTTGCTTTTAATCTCTCTTTCCTGTGGGTTGCAGAAACTGAACTCAGAGCCTCGCGCTTGCCAGGTGCCCGTGGCCTGCAGGGGCCTCGCTCTCAGCCTCCCGTACCACCGCCCCGTGCCTGGCCAGGTTTTTCTGTTTCTTCTTTTCACTCTGTCCTCTGTCCTCTCTCTCTTGATTGCTTGAGGCAGCCTCTCGCTATGTCACGGAGGCTTCGGTCTTAAACTCACCATGTAGCCCAGATTGGTCTCCAATGTGCAGAGACCCTCCTACCTCGGCCTCCCGGGGCGGGCACCACGCCGGCTTCTAGCTGCCTTTCTAGGGAACCCCTTCACCAGGTCCACAGTGGCTGTGCGTTCATTTACCACTAACGGGGGACCTGGAAATTCCTCTCATGACTTTTTGGTGCCAATAAGCAGTGATTTATAATCGCAATAACAAAAGAGCCGACGAGGGCTGGGGATTTAGCTCAGTGGCATAAGCACCTGCCTTGCAAGCACATGGTCGTGAGTTCAATCCCCAGTTCCAAAAAAAAATCACACACACACACACAAAAAAGTCGTCAGTCAGTCATTTATCCATTTGTGAAGACACAGATTTAATGAGCATCTACTAGGTGCCAGCATCCTATGACCTGGCGAGTCTTACAGGGCTGTCACAGGCAGGAGCTTTCTGCTTCCCTGCTTTGGCAGCTAGAGAAACAGGGGAAACAGTGGCAAATTCATTAGTAGCCAGGGTCGGGCCGGGGCAGGAAGCCTGGTGGGACCCAGTCACCGCGACTGACACCCAGCTCTGAGGGTAACAGAGAGCATCTCCTCTGATTGTGATGCCTCTGATCTTTTTGCTGGAGGAAGAAAGTGATGGACAAGGCAGCCTGGACACCCTAGAAACTCTTGTGAGTTTCCTGGAATTAAGAGGCAGAGGCAGAGTGGAGGAAGGAGGGGTCTGAGGCTGGAGGAACAAAGCTTTGACAGGAGAGAGGATTAAGAGAAGGCTTCCTGGAGGCTACATCCGTGAAGCTGGGCTTTGAAGGATGCATAGGAGTTTGCCAGTTTGCTGTTCATCTAAAGGCACAGAGGTGGGAGAGCATCAGAGGAGTTTGGGTGACCCGGGTTGGCTGGAGAGGAGGAGATACTCGTGGGGAAGCCAGGGATGAGGCTGAGTTAAGCGGAGGCAGACTGAGAGGCACTGGCTTTGCGCTTGTCCTGGAGGGGATGGGGAGCCATGGGAGGTGCTGGAGCAGGGCAGCTCTTGCCTAGATCCAAGTCTCAGGAAGGCTCCTGAGGAGACCTGCTTGGGCACCAGAGGAGTGGCCACACTCTTCCCTCCTCTCCGGGGTGGCCTCCGAGGGGAGCTGCCTGGGGGTCCTGTCCAGGGCTCCAGGAGCAGCCGCACACTTTCTTCCTCCGGGGTGACTGTGGGGTTCACCTCTGTCGGCTTCCTTCTCCTACCCCGCCCCGCCTGGGAGCTCAGGGCAGGGTGCGCAGTGGAGCTCGCTCTGGGCTCCCACGCCGCCCAGCTCGGGCTGGGCCCAGGGAGCACCGCCGTCCTGATCAGGGGGATGACCGGGCAGGTGACCAGCAGGGCACTGGCCAGCTCCCGGGCACTGTGACCGTGGAGGCTGCTGAGTCACGCAGGGTAGAAGGGCACCATGTGGGCTCCGGATGCTCCCCCACCTAGGCCATCCAGGGTGGAGAAGTGGGGCCCACCCCCGCCCACCCATTCATTATGGGTCCATCTATTCATCTGTCCGTCCATCCACCCACCCGCGGTCAGTGGTCAGCATGGCCTCTTCCCCCGAGGGCTTCTAGCTCGTGTGAGGGTGCAGGGGAGGCGGAGGCGGGTGAGGAGGGCAGCGCCTCGGAGCAGAGCTGCGGCCCAGGCGAGGGCCGGGGGCAGAGGGTGCAGGCCCGGCCCCGGGGGCGCTGAGGGGAGCCTCGGGCTGCGGCTCCGTGGGGGACGCAGGTGTCTGCGGGGACAGAGTCAGATCCGCCAGGCCCTAGGGGCACGGGGAGCTGGGAGACACATGGCCGGTGGGGTTCGGGGTGGGCCAGGCTCACCCCCTAAGGATAATGGGGAGCCCGTGTTGCCATCAGCCTGTGATAGGATCTTTCTGGGGTGGATGTAGAGAATGAGGCTCAAGGAGTGGGGTGCGGGGGCTTCATCCAGAGATGTCCTAAGCACAAGTCAAGGGGCACTATCTGTATCTATTTAAAAAATATTAACTTTAGCCAGGTGTAGTGGCGCAGGCCTGTAATTACAGCACGTGGGAGGTTGGTCTCAAGTTCTCAGCAGCCCTCCTGCCTTGCACTTCCATGAAAGGGAACAGCTGGGTCAAATGAACTCTAGCCTTAGCTTTTGGGTAACTCTCCATGTGGAAGAGGCTATTAGAAAATGAAGGTCCGGGGATATAGCTCAGTGCTTTCCTGGCAAGTGTGAGGTTGTGAGTTCAATCCCTTGTACCAAACAAAGACACAAACAAACAAAACACCCCAAACCAAAAAGAAAACCAAAGAAATGATATTCCTTATTCTTGGATCGGTACAACCAATATAGCGAAAACAACCACACGTCCAAAGCTGTTATACAGATTTAACACAACCCTGGTCAAAAGACCAACAGCCTACCCCACAGAACCAGAGAAAACAGTCCTAAAATTCATTTGGAGTCAGAAGAGACCAAGAATAGCAAAACTATACTCAGCAACGTAGGCAAGGCAGGGGCGTCACAACCCCTGATCTGAAATTATACTACAAAGCTCCATGATAAAAACAGCATGGTACTGCAAAAAGCACAAAGCAAAACAACAGACCCCAGGTTCAGGGGACAGAATAGAAGATGCAAAAACAACTCCAAACACACTCAGCCACCTTCTCTTTGGTAAAAGGGCCAAACACCTTCACTGGAAGACAGAATAGGCAGAACTCTTGAAGACATGGGTGAAGGCAGACACTTCATGAACAAAAGGCTGATTGCACTGAAAATATTACAAGGATGTGACAGCTGGCCTCCCGTTGTATTAAAAAGCTATTGCACAGCAAAAGAAACCATTCACAGAGTGAAGAGACAACTCACAGAGTGGGGAAAACTTTCTTTTTTAACCAGTTGTAAGACCTATTTCAAAAATGGGCATTTGAAATGAATACACACTTCTCAGATGAAACACAAAGGCAAATAAATATATGGGAAAAAATGCTCAGCATTCCTGGTCATTCAAGAGATGTTAATTAAAACAAGGCTGAAATTCCCTCTCAGCCTGGTAAGAATGGCTGCTATCAAGAAATCACCAATAAGCTGGCTGTGGTGGCTCATGCCTGTCACCCCAGCACTCCGGAGGCTGAGGCAGGAGGATTCTTGCAAGTTTGAGACCAGCCTGGGCTCCAAAGTGAGCTCAAGGCCAGCCTGAACTGCATAGCCAGATCTTGTCTCAAAAGCAGAAAATCAACGAAGAGCAAAGCTCCCGGGCTGTGGGGAAGAGGCGCCTTCTGCCTGCTGGTGGGGGCACCAGTTGGCAGGGTGTCGGATCTTCACTGCCCGCTTCCTACCGCAGCGGCCGTGGCCCCCAAGGATGAATTTTTCTACAGTTTCCTGAAGCCCTGGCTGGGTGAGTGCCTGGGGGAGCCGGGGCGGGGCTTCCTTGGAGGAATACGGAGGGGGGTCCCTAAACCTCCTTCTCTGGGCCAGGGGATGGGCTGCTGCTCAGCAAGGGGGACAAGTGGAGCCGGCACCGGCGCCTGCTGACGCCCGCCTTCCACTTCGACATCCTGAAGCCCTACATGAAGATCTTCAACCAGTGCACCCACACCATGCACGTGAGCACGCAGGGGCCGGGCCGGCCGGGCGGGGGGCATCCCGGTGTGACCCTCAGAGCCCCCAGGACCAGCCCGCACCCCGCGGGCCGCCGCCCATGCGTCCTCTCCCCCAGAGCAAGTGGCGTCGGCAGCTGGGGCAGAAGCCGGTGGCCTCCTTCGACATGTTCGAGCACGTCAGCCTCATGACCCTGGACAGCCTCCAGAAATGCGTGTTCAGTTACAACAGCGACTGCCAGGAGTGAGTGGGGCGGGCACAGAGCAGCCACCGGGCGGGAGGGCAGGGGAAGGCGCCACCGTGGGCCACACGGGCCCGGGGAAGGGACGTCACCTCTGAGCCTCAGTTTCCTTATCCTAAAGAAAAGGGCATGCTAATCCTTTCCCCGGGTGGCAGCTCCGTGAGACAGTGTGCGTCAGCATCCTGGCATGGCGTGGGTACTCAGCAAACAGCACTTTCCCTCGTTCCGCTGTGCAGTCTTTGGAAAGTGCTGCAGCCTACTTTCTGAGCCTCGGCTTCGCTCTCTCTCTCTTTATCTTTTGATAAGTTCTTGCTATGCGGCACAGGCTGGCCTTGAAATCATGATGTAGCCCAGGCTGGCTTCAAATGCCCAGCGATCCTCCTGCCTCAGCCTCCCGAGTGCTGGGATGACAGGTGTGCGCTGCTGGCCCTGCCTGGAGAGGTTCATTGAACTCTCAGATTTGTGGGTGGAAATAGCAGACAGTACGGCCTCACCCAGGATGGGCTTGCGGATGGCACTATGGGCCAGGGCCAGGGTCAGGGTCAGAGTCAGGGTCAGGGTCAGGGGTCAAGGTCAGGGTCAGGGGCCAGGGTCAGGAGTCAGGGTCAGGGTCAGGGGTCAAGGCCAGGGTCAGGGGTCAGGGTCAGGGGTCAAGGCCAGGGTTAGGGGTCAGGGTCAGGGCTGGCGAGTGCAGGGCAGGGCAGGGAGCTGGAGGAGGGCGGGAAAGGTCGCTGGCGCTAGCCGGTGGGTGGCGCGGTCGGGGCTGACGGCCTGTGCTGGGCTCCGCCGCAGGAAGATGAGCGATTACATCTCGGCCATCATCGAGCTGAGCGCCCTGGTCGTGCGGCGCCAGTACCGCCTGCACCACTACCTCGAGGCCCTGTACTACCTCTCGGCCGACGGGCGGCGCTTCCGCCGCGCCTGCGCCGTGGTGCATCGCTTCACCACCGAGGTCATCCAGGAGCGGCGGAGGGCGCTGAGCCGGCAGGGCGCGGAGGGCTGGCTGAAGGCCAAGCAGGGCAGGACCCTGGACTTCATCGACGTGCTGCTGCTGGCCAGGGTGAGGCGCCCGCCCAGGGCCAGGGCGGGCCGGGGGAGAGTCACACCCAGGCGCCGAGACCAGCCTGCGAGTCTGTGCTAACAGAACTCATTCAAGCCTGGCCTCGATCAAACCTATCATCCTCCTGCCTCAGCCTCCTGAGTGGTCAGACTCCCTCGCTAAAATGTTTCAAGTAAATAAAACAACATAGTGGCTGTGTGGAACTCCGAGGCCCTCTGCTGAAATTCCTTTCCTGGCAGTATTCTCTAGGCCTAAAGCCTTCACACCAAGCTACATCCCCATTCTTTTCCAGTTTTTTTTTTATTTGGAGATTCACTCTTGCCAAGCTGCTAAATTGCCCAGGTTGGGATAGAACGTGTGTCTCCTGCCTCAGCCTCCCAGAGTGCTGGGAAGCCAAAGTGTGTGCTATCAGACCCGGCTCCCTCTCTGATATTTTTGTGCAGCATTGGGTTCTGGATCTAAAGAGTTCTAGGTCTCATCGCTGGCTGTGCCGCTCAGGGGCGCCTAGTGACGTCATGACCCCCAGTCTGTGCAAGTACAAATGAAATCGCCACTGAGCCACACCCTCAGCCTTTTTAAAATTTTACGGTGCATGAGGTCTCACTGTGTGGTACAGGCTTACACCCTCCAGCCTGAGCCTCCTGAGCGGCCCGGATTGCAGCTGTGCAGCATGGAGCTCATCCTATCCGGTACACGTTGCACACCGGCCTCCACTAGGACTAGAGATGGCACATCTCTGCCTGACAGGGGAACCTCCGTGCCAGAGTGGGATGCGGGCACTGAGTATCCTCTGCTGCCCCCTGCAGGATGAAGACGGAAACGAGCTGTCAGATGAGGACATCCGCGCTGAGGCGGACACCTTCATGTTCGAGGGTGAGGACGGGGTACCGGGTTGAAGGACGACAGGGACCCCGGCACCACAGCAGACACTCATCTGGCTGGCGATGGGGGCCTCCATCTGGATTCCTGATCTGCCTGCAGGTCACGACACAACCTCCAGTGGGCTGTCCTGGGTGCTGTTCAACTTGGCCAAGTACCCGGAGTACCAGGAGAAGTGCCGGGAGGAGATCCAGGAAATCATGAAAGGCCGGGAGCTGGAGGAGCTGGAGTGGTCAGTTTAAGGGCCCTGGGTGTCGAAGGCACGGGTTGGGGCCAGAGCCTTGGGTGCGAATCTCTCTCACTTAACTCACTGAGTGACGTTGGGTAGGTCCTTTTCCAGCTCAAACAAGGAAGTGACTATGCTGCCTGCGCCTAACTCAATACAGCAGTCTTGCAGTGTCTCAGTCAGCAATTGTCACAATGCTGCGTAACAAGCATCCCCTGCACCGGTGCTTTTACTTTTGGCTCTTGTGGCTGCGGGGCGTGGCTAAGTCCAGTTGGGGTGGCTTCCAAACTGCGCTGCACTCAGCTTCTTTCCCAGCATCACCTCACTCTCTCTGAACCAGAGGCTGCCCTGGGAGATGCTTTGCTCATGATGATTCTAGAAGTGTAACAGTCCTTCCCCAGTTCACTTAAGGTCACATTTTTAGGTAAGTGGCGTTAGGACGTCAACATTTTTTAAAAATCAGTTTTTCCTCCCATATATACTTTTCACCTCCCCCCCCACTTTTTTTTGTCTTTTTGAGGCAGGGTCTCTCTAGGCAATACTACTTGCTTTTAGTCCTATAAGAGCTTTTGGTGTATGGGTAACTTGGCTTTGAATTTAAATTGTTTTTACTTTTAAATTTAAAAATGAAAAAAGAATAAAAATGATACAGAATTTTTGGCTTTGAGTTTTAGGGTTCTTTAAAAAATTTTATGACAGTCTTGCAAGTTTCCCAAAGTGGTTTTGAACTTGTGATCTTCTTGGCTCAGCCTCCCAAATAGCTGGGACTACAGTGTCCACCACTGTGCCTGGGTTACCAGCTTCGGTTTTTGTGTTTGTTTTGTGAGAGGGTCTCTATGTGTAGTTCAGGCTGGCCTTGAACTCACCGTGTAGCCTGGGCTGGTCTTGAATTTGCAGTGATCCTCCTGCCTCAGCCTGCTGAGTGTGGGGATCACAAGTGTGCACTGCCATGCTCGGCTGAGTTAGCTGTGTTCAATGTCTTGGGCCAGGCTTTCCAAATACTCAGAAGGGTGAGGCAGGAAGGTTGCTGGAGCCTGGGCATTGAGTGCCAGCCTGGGCACCATTATGGGACCCCAATCTCTTTGTAAGAAAATAAATAATTCTGGTTTAGCAGTGCACACATGTAATCTCAGCACTTTGGAAGGCTGAGGCAGGAAGATCAATTTGAGCTCAGTCTGGGCAACTTAATGAAATCTTGTCTCAAAAAGATTAAAAAAAATAAAACCCTAGGGAGGTAGCTCTGTGTGAGGATCCTGGGTTCAATATCCAGTAGATGAAGGTGCATATGCGGTAATCCCAGCACTCAGGAGGCTGAGGCAGGAGGATCACTGGGAGTTCGAGGCCAGCCTGGGCTACACAGTGAGACCCTGTCTTAAAAAAGAAAATCTAGTAGATAAAGAAGCGGGTAAGGAATGGCAGGAGAGGAAGAGGAAAAGAAGAAGAAATGGAGGAAGAGGGTAGTAGAGGAAGAAAGAAGAAAGCAAACACTGACAGTGGACCAGAAGGCTAATAAACTGCTGTTCCGGGGGAGGCTGAGGTCCTGGCTGTACCTGGACCTCCCTGACCCCCCCCCCATGAGCCCTCAGTTAATAGCTTCCTGATTGGCCGAGCACTCCCGGCCCAGCCCAGCATGCGCTGCTCTGATTGGCTGGTGGGCAGACGGTTTGCATTCTGTGTCTGCAGAACCCGCCCAGCCACCGTGTGCGCGCATGCACGCACGCACGCGGGGCAGTCACTGTGCCTCTCTCCCCAGGGACGACCTGACCCAGTTACCCTTCACCACCATGTGCATCAAAGAAAGCCTGCGCCAGTTCCCGCCGGTCACCCTGGTCTCTCGACGCTGCACGCAGGACATCGCGCTGCCGGATGGGCGCGTCATCCCCAAAGGTGCGCAGCACGTGTGTCCCCTGCCCATCCCCGTCCCTAGGGGCCTGGCCACGCCCAGCTCGGTTACAGCATCTCTGTACCCAGGGCGGCTTCCCTGCACCCCTCTTGGGCTCGGGGTCCTGGGGGACCTTGGTTTCGTGTGGGGAGGGGGAAATGGGTGAGTCCAGGAGGAGAACAAGGGCGCAGATGGGACCGGGCCGGTTTCGCCAAATTCCCGACTGTTCTCGGCAGACTCATTTTGTGTGTGATATCCAGACTTGAACTCAGGACTTCACACAGTCTATGGAAGGGCTGTGCCGCCGAGCTACCAGCTTCACCCTTTAAAAATCTTCAGTGAAGGGGCTGGAGGTTTAGCTCAGCGGCATAAGCACCTGCCTTGCAAGCAGGCAATCGTGAGTTCGATCCCCGGTACCGATAAAAAGGAAAAAGACAAAAAAAAAAAATCTGCAGTGAAAGTACACAGGCAGCAGGGGCTTTCAGAAGATGCGGCCCAGGAAGTGGTGGCCGGTGGCTCACGGGACCGCCCTGGCTCCGGGCGAGGGCACTGTTTCCAGGGGTGACCCTGCTTGTCCCCACAGGAATCATCTGCATGATCAACATCTACGGGACCCACCACAATCCCACGGTGTGGCCAGACGCCAAGGTGAGCTCCTGCCCTGTCTCGGGACTCAGTAACCGCTTAAAGGAGGCGAGGATCATGTGGGCTCATGATTTTTAGCGGTTTCAGACCACGGTTGGGTGGCTCAAAGGCAGAAGGGGCCGCCAGGAAGCTAAGAGGGAGGAGCCTGGGAGAAGCCACGCCCGTCGGGAAGGCCACACCCCAGGCCACGCCCCCAGCCGCCCACCATCCGCTCTAGCTTTCAAGTGACCCACTTCTGCACATTTGAGAGTTTTGGAGGGCATTCTCTATCTAAATTATAACATGCCCCAAACATCCCTGCCCTCGGCTTCTTCCCAGAAAGGGCAGTCCTGGGGGCCAAGGAAGGCACCTGGTTTCAGGGCGCACTTGCCCTTCTCCCCATCCACTCATCCACTTGTTAATTCGTTAAGTTAAAAAAATAACAGTGACAGCGCATTTACCCAGTGCTGGACGCTGAAGCTGGAGGTGACGCTGTCTGCCTTTGTGGCATTTGCGGTGAGGTTTCTTGGGAAGACACACACACACACACACACACACACACACACACACACACGTCTAAGATCATTTTGCATGTTGATCAATGCCCCAGCGAAATAAAAATGCTGGAGCCGGCAGGGGGCGCTTTAGTTCAGGTGGTCAGAAAGGCCTTCCGGAGGAAGAGATTTTTGAGCACAGTTTTGAAGAGCGTGCAGGGCAGGGAGAAGTGTGTTCCAGGCAGAGGAAACTGCAAGTGCAAAGGCCCTGATGTAGGCAGGCACTCAGCATGTCTGATGGCAGGAGGAGGTGGGCATGGGCTGCACTGTGGTGAGAGGTGGTTGGTGTTGGGATGCGGTGTGGGGTGGCCCAGTCTCCCAGCTAGACTCATGCCCAGAGGTGGGGGTGAGTCGGGGTGGGTGAGAGACAAGCTGGAGCGCCTGGGCCAACCCCCCACCCAACTCATCCCTGGTCTTTCCTGTCTAGGTGTACAACCCATACCGCTTTGACCCAGTCAACCCACAGCAGCGCTCCCCGCTGGCTTATGTGCCTTTTTCTGCAGGACCCAGGTACGGCCTCTGTTTCCCCTAGCCCAAGTCATTCGTGGATGGCACAGAGCCCAGGGGAACGGGCACAGGACCTCCTGCCTCCTCAGTCCTCCATCCCTGAGTGGCCCCTGGGAGGCTGGGCCTGAGCCTTTGTGCCCCCTTCTGCAGGAACTGCATCGGACAGAGCTTCGCCATGGCGGAGATGCGTGTCGCCGTGGCGCTCACGCTGCTGCGCTTCCGCCTGAGCGTGGACCGAACGCGCAAGGTGCGGAGGAAGCCGGAGCTCATCCTGCGCACGGAGAACGGCATCTGGCTCAACGTGGAGCCGCTTCCTCGGCAGGGAGCCCAGGCCCCGCCCCTGAGAGCCCATGCCCCGCCCCCACGGAACTGAGGGCACAGGCCTTGTCCCTGGAAGTCCTGCTGGCTGGAGGAACAGGGCCCTTGCTGAGCCACCTGCGGTGCTAGCCACGCCCCTCAAGGCAAAGCTCCGCCCCTGACCTCCAATGGGAAGGACCAAGTCCGGCTCCGCCCCCTCGGAGTCCGCCAATCGAAGTCCTCAGGGCACGCTCCAGCCGAGCCGACTCCCAGGCTCCGCCCACTGGCCTTCCAAGGCTTAAGCCCCGCCTCTTGGACTCAAGCCCCGCCCCTCCCTGCTGGCTGCACTGAGCCTGGCTTTCAATGGAAGACTTGGAAGCTGGAACTGAGGTCAGCCGCGCCCCTGGACATTGCCCTGCGCGGGCCTCCGCCTCACAAGGACAGACTTCGGGCACCGTCCCCTGGCTTTTGTAGCTGTTTTGAAGCCTCTCGAGCCTCTTTCCACCAGCCCTGCTCACGGACTCTTGCCGAGTGTGCTGATCCTGCCAGAGTGAAAGTGTCCATCGCCAACGCAGGCCCAGCGGGCACTCCAGGGAGACGGGAGGCCGGGACGCCGTTTGTACCAGGACATAAACTCCGATGTTTTGGGAAAGTTTGCGCCTTCGTTTATTTTGTCAGTATATTCATTAAATATTTACCAGCGGACAGGCTTCCTGCCCTGGAAAGGGGTGGGTCACACATATGTCTGATTATTTACAGCCCGTGGCAAGTGCTGCAAACCCAAGACCCCGGTGCTTGGTGAACACGAGGGCACGGGCCTGGGCTCTGGGAGGGGCCGAGGTGCCAACAGGGGCCAGATGTACAGGCGTGAGCATGGCATGGTGGTACATGCCTGTAATTCCAGCACTGAGGAGGCCGAGACAGGAGGATCGCCGAGAGGTGAAGGTCATCCTGAACTACACAGTGAGACCTTGTCTCAAACTTTCCCATCACGTACAGAAATAAACAGAAGGTAGCATACGTGGAAAAGAAATCCCAGAACAACATGAAACAAAAACCAAACCATGACAGCGTGAGAATCTGTGTGTGTGTGTGTGTGTGTGTAGGGGGGACAGGCATTAAGGGCTCGGGCCTGGACGTCCCCGGCCTCGGGTGCTTCCTGTGTGCTCTTCCTGTCTTATTAGATCTCGCTCTGGGTCTCACTAGTCATGATCTCTTTAACCAAGGTGGAAACCGAGACCCCAGAGAAAAGCAACTCAAGTCCTCCAAACAACGCCAGGGCCAGGTCTCAGCGGGGCTCCGGAGTTCTTTCCAGCCCCACCCCCTCAGGCTCCCGGGCTGGACCTGGGTCCCCAAGTCTCCTTTTGAGTAGCAGCAGGTGGCGAAGGGGGCCCCCCTAAGGGCCCCCCTCCTGCCTTGACTGAAGATGCCCCTCATGCGAGGTTCTGGTGGCCTCTGACTGCTGCCCTTGGCAAACACCTCCTGCTCTCCTGGGTGCGACCTTGTCACCTTTGGGCTAACACCAACTGACCGATTAATCAGCTACGCCGCAGTCCAGCCTGGTCTTGTGGGCTCCACTTCTGGCTCTTCCCCTTCCTGGTGGTGGCTGTGAGCAGGTGACTGCCAGATTCCTTGTCCTGTGGATCTCAAGGGGGCACACGGAGTTTCCATCCAGGGCTCTAAGAAAGGAGAGGCAGGTGTGCTCCCAAGTCCTCGGGATGCTGCTACACTTGTGTGTCATGCTTTTCTGTTTTATTTATCAGCACACGTTTGCATACGCCATGACTGGTCACATTCAGAGGTACGTGTGCATAGCACGTCCAAATTGTTTTTCACATATTCTCCCCATCACCAGGTCCTCTTCCCATCTGTAAAGAATTTATTTCTCCGTTTCCTGTTATCTGTCTTTTCTTTGACTCTTTATTTAGATTTTGAGTTTCTCATATTAGAGAACCCATGTGACATTTAAGCTTGTGTATCTGATTTATTTCCTTTAATGTTCCGGTCTCAAGGTCCATCCGATTCCCTACAAATCCTTCATGGCAGAGAAGTATTTCACTGGCTAGAAAGCCATTTTTCCATCGCTTCATCTGTTGGTGGGTGTACAGGGCTGTGCCCAAGAGGTTTAGCTTTTATGAATTACACCGCTGTAAACATGAATGTGCCTGGATCACAGGAATGTCTTTAACTCTTCTGGGGAGACACCTAGGAGAGGAATATTTCTAGTTTTATATTTTAAGGGATCTTGGTACTGATTTCCATACTGGTTGTACTAGTTTAATCTCCCCCCAAACAATTTAGAAGGTTCCCCGCCACCCCTGCAGCCTTACCAGCATTAGTTATTAGATTTTTTCTTTTTCTTTTCTTTCTTTTGTCTTATTGAGACAGGGTCTCGCGATGCAGTTCAGGCTGGCCTTGAGCTCACTTTGTAGCCCAGGCTGGTCTCGAACTCTCAACGATCCTCTATCTCAGGCGCTCAAGTGCTGGGATTACAGGTGTGAGCCACCATGCCCAGCTCAGATTTTTTTTTTCTTGAGACAAGGTTTCTCGTGTTTGCTTGCACCGAGAATTGAGCTCAGGACCTTGCACTTGCCAGGCAGGCGCTGTGCAGCTGAACTGTACACTCCGCCCAGGATCTCACTTTATGATCCAGACTGGCCCTGAATTCACTGAAGCAGCCTAGGCTGAACTCGGGGCAATGCTCCTGCCTCAGCCTCCCGAGTGCTGACATTACAGGCATGCAAACCCGGCTCGTTATTAGATTTCTAGATGATGGGCATTCTTTCTGGAGTAAGATGAAATGTTAGTGTTGTTTCAGTTTACTGTTCATTTCTCTGGGCATTTGTAAATTTTGTACTGGGATTTGAACTCACGGCCTCGCGCTTGCTGGGCAGGTGCGGTGCCTCTGAGCTCTATCCCAGACCTGGCATTTATAAATCTGAAACCGCCCAGACTGGGCTCTGGCTCTCGCTCCCGTCTTGAGTGTGACAGTGGCTCCCCCTGCTGGACGCCTCCGAGACAACAGGCTCCGATCCTGTTTCTGCAGAGGCTACTTTAATCCTTGCTTGAGGGGAATCCGAACTCAGACCCAGGGCAACTGCACCCTCCCCGATCCCCAACAGCCTACTGAGCCGCCCTTATCAGCAAGGAGGAATGCTGGGCTCAGAGAGGGCAAGTCACCTGCGTGAGGTCACACAGCCCTGAGTAGCAGAGCTCAGCTTTGCCCAGGCCCCAGCCCCTCGCCCGCCCCTCTGCTGAGAGCCTCCTCCTTGGCGGCTCCGAGCAGACAATGCTTGCAGCCAGCAGAATCCCCAGCTGGACAGAGGCACCAGCCGGACAGAGCAGAGGCTCACAGCTCATGCCTAGGCCTTCCCTGTGTCATAACGAAGCAGAAATTCCGTCAAAGGCGAGCTCCGTGCTGACCGGCTGCTGGGGAGCGTTCGCTGATGATTTTCTCTTCCTCCCTCTCCCTTTCCTCCTCCTCTCTCCTTACCGTCCTCCTCCTCCTCCTCCTCTTTCTCTACCCTCTCCTCTTCTCATTCTTCCTTTCCCCCTTCTCCTCCTCCCCCTCCTGCTCCCTGGACTTTGTGGAAAAAACTGTCAGTGCGTGCTGAGGGTGCACCCAGTGGTGCAGGGTGTGTGCCTTGCATACTGGAGGCCTGGAGTTCAGTCCCAGCACCCCGACCCCTCTCTCACATGCAAAACGTTGTAAGCATAGAAATTTGTTTATAAATGTAGAAAACGTGGGATTTGGCCAGGCTACAGCAGGGACAGTTTCAGGCATCAGCTAGGACAACTTTTCGCAGATCAAAGAACCATTTCCAAGACAGCTCAGGGCTGGGTTCTCAGGTCGTCTTGGTGGGGCCTCTCCTGCGGCTGCTGAGGCTTCCTCTGACCATGGCAGCTGGGCCCAGGAGTAGGAATTCCACGGAAGGCAGCGGTGGGTCTTCCTAGGACCTAGACTCCGAAGTCCTCTGAGTTAGTGTGACAGCCCCGACTCAAGGACCGGGAACGAGACTTCATCTGTGTACCAGTGAGTGGGGTCTCCAGGGAAGTTAGTCAGTAGTATCTATCTGTCTACCATGGCTTGGAGCTCACACTGCCCCAAGGCCCAGTGCGGTGACAGCAGCTGCTTGGAAGCAGCGAGAGGAGAGGCCCGGCCCAGGGGCTCCTCCAGGGCCACCCCCCAGTGGCCTCACTTCCTGCAGCTGTGGACCCAGAGAAGGAGGAGGCTCTGGCTACCCCAGCCGGCTGGGGGCTCCGGAGTCTGCAGGACCAGGAGCTGGACTCGGTAGGGCTAGAAGCCATGTGGCTGCGGGAAGGAAAGTTCAGGCCTCTCCCCGTGTTCCTGGTTGCACAGCATCTCTGTCCTTCCGCAGCGCTCCGCAGACTCACCTCCCTCCGAGGACCACACAGCGGCCCTGCGGAGGGACACTCAGGACAGGATCTGGACAAGATGTGCCCTTTCGGTGGTCACTGTCCCATCTGCCGGGTGGAAGCCTGAGCCCAGAGAGGGCCGGGCCAGCACTGCCCATCGGCAAGCAAGGACTCTCTTCGGGTCCCTGGCTCTGCCTTCCTGGCATGGACCTACTTGCCCCCTGGCCCTCTGGACCTTTCTCCCTTATTTTTGGGTCTCCTACTCTGACCTCTGACCTTTGACACCGAGGCTGAGCCACGCCTCCCGATGTGCTTTTCCAGCTGGGCTCCTTATCTCCAAAATCTGACCCAGACAATTGCGGTGTGGCCAGATTTCTGATTCTGACACAATGGATTTCTAGTTCTGACACAATGGATTTCTAGTTCTGACATGAAGTCATGACTCAACCCAGGTCTGGGGTGCTCGGGGCAGCACTTGAACTCGTCACACTGTGCAGCTGGTGAACCCCAGTCTTTTGAGCCTCCAATATTTTTTTATTAAGAGATTTTATTTTATTTCATTTCTTTTTTGCAGCACGGTCTCGCTATACTCTTTAGGCTGCCATCAAACTGGGGGAGACCCTGCTGCCTCCGTCATCTGTCGCCTGGTATTATGGGCACGCTACACCGAGCCCCGCTTTTTGTTTTGTGGGTGCTGCTTTGAGATGGGGAATCTTAGTGACTCTCTTGGTTGCTAGAACAAAATACCTGACACCTACTACCGAAGGAAGGAGAGGCTGGCTTGTCTTCACAGTTGATCTCGGTTTCAGTCCACTGTCAACTGGTTCCAAGGCTGGGCAGCAGAAAGGAGGGAGAGACCCTCCCAGGCTGCGTCCCCAATACGCACCTCCTCCTCTGATGAGCAACCCACCTATGACTGCAAGGGCGTCATCCCAAGAAGAAGCATACATAGAGTCTTGCTTTGTAGCCCTCACTGGCCTTGAGCGCTGGGCAATCCTCCTGCCTCAGCCTCCTAGATGCAGGGGCGGCAGGTGTACCCCCAAGTCCGGCTTCTCTTGAGCCTCCTAACCCTGCACTGACACACGGTGGGCGTGGTCCCCCGCAGGGAGAAGAGCTCAGATTTCTGGGTCCTGGCCTGGGCTGCTGTAATCTGCTGCACCCTGGCCTTGGGTGGGCGGGGAGCCGCCGTGAGCGTGGGGGTTCCCAGTCACCTTTGTCCGGAGGCTCCACTCGCCCCGCCTGTGACCCCAGGGGACTCCCCTGCACCCCTTCCTCCTGCCCCGAGCCCTGGCCTCCCGCCAGGCAGGGAGGAGCAGCCGGGTCTGCAGGGATTGGCCCAGCCAGGCCCAGCCTCCCGCGGGGCTGGAGGTCCGAGCGGAACCAAGCGGAGCCATAAGTCCCGAGGAGGGGACAGCACGCTCCTCACAGACGGTTCCAGGCTGAGGGTGTAAGGAAGGCTCTGATCTGGGGCGCTGAGGGGACTCCCCAGAACTCTGGGGTGGTTTCCGCGTAGCTGAGCCCTGGCCTTTCCCCTAGGTTCCCGGTTGAACCAGTTTGCAGTGTAAACGACTCCCCCACTGTGCTCACCCTCTCTGCCCCCTTTCCCGTGTCGCCCCTCTGCCTTTCCTTCCTCTCATCCTCTGGGGCTCCCTTCACTCCTTGTCCTCCCCTGACTCTCCCAGACCCCGCCTCTCCCCGGAGTCCCTGTCCCTTTCCTTGGGACTCAGGGAGCCCCCTCGGTCCCCTCCGCCCCTGCAGGATGACCCTGTCCGGCCTGTCCTGGCTGGGCCCGGGGCCGCCATCCTGCTGGTCGGGGCTTCCTGGCTTCTGGCCCGAATCCTGGCTCGGATCTACGCCTACTACAAGTTCCGGTGTCACCTGCGATGCTTTCCGCAGCCTCTCCGGGAGAGCTGGTTTTGGGGTCACATGCATGTGGTGAGTGTGGCCGCAGAAGTCTCGGGCGTCAGGGTGGGTGGATTGCCGAGGGGCCGGAGAGGGGAGCAGGGGGCTGGGAGTTGGGGTGTGTGCCTGGAGTCCAGGATGGCAGGGCAACCAGGGAAGCTCAGGGAACCCCTTTTTCCTCAAGTCCCCATCACCCCTGTTTTTTCATTTTTCCCCTTTCCTTCCCTGGGGCTGCTTTGGGTCACATTCCTGCCTGTGCCCCCCATATTCATGCGCCCCTCTCTACTTAGGGGGAGCTCCCAAGGTAGGCTGCACAGAGCAGAGGGCCCTGGCCAGTCTGCAGATTCCATCTCTGGATTTGAGTTCCCCTCGGGGCACAGTCCCAGGGCTGCTCCCCGCCTGTTCATCTCTGCAGGCTCCAGGGCAGGGGCTGTGCCTCTCCAGGCTGCCGCCTCCCCCGGTGGAATGAGCTGTGCCCCTCCAGTGCCAGTGGGGACTGGGCCCAGGGCCTGTCAGGTGCATTGGGCGGACACCTCTGCTGGGATTTTAGGCATGCACCCCGCACCTGGCTACCCATATCCACGTGATCTGTCTTACCCGTCTCCTTGTCTCTGCGTAAAGTCTACCTGTCTGTCTTCTCTGACACGCATGTTATTTCTCGATCTTCTTTATATCTTATCTCCTCTTGCTGTGGGAAGATTCCCAAGCCGAGCCAAACCAAAAGGAAGACTCTTCGCTTGGAGAAAAGAACTTTAATCTTCAGGCCAGCAGACTAGCGGGATAGCCCCTAAAGGCAGCAGCCTGAGTTTAGGAAGAGTGTCGTTTACACAGCGTTTAGAGGTGGAGGCATAATGCGAATGACAAAGGCTATGTAGTTGGTGACATGCATGGGGCGAACACTGACAGCCAGGCTGGTCTTAAACAGATTTGTTGAAATGCAGGAGTTGTTTCTCGTCATATAGAGACGCTCTCACAGAGTGGGCGTGGTTAAAAGCAATTCTGTAGGCAGCAGCACTCCTTACAGGGCGCGCGGGCCAGCCCAGGCCGCCTCACGGCCACAGTCAGCAGCTCTGAGCCGTGCACAGCAGAGGGACCCCGCCGGACCACAGACACCGTCCCAGTCAGTGGAATTCGGCAGAAAACGCAGAACAGAAACTTGGTCAGAGATCTCTGACTGACCTAAGTTTGCTGTTTATAAACGTGTGCTTCCGAGGTAACCGTGTCTCGGCGCTCCCTCCTCTCTGTCACCCGCCTGTGAATCTGTCACCCTCTCCTGTGAATGTGTCACCCCTCTCCTCTACTTATCAAACCATAATCGATCAGACCTATTGATCCGTGACCTGTGTGTCTGTCTGCATGTCTGTCTGTGCATGCTGTGTGCACCCAGCCGTCTGTCTCACCTGTCTATATGTCTGTCTGTCTATCTATCTGCCTGTCTATCATCTCCATTTACCTAGGAAGGAAACAGACATAAAAGGAGTCAGGAGTCAGGGAGAGGCACACAGACAGACAGACAGACAGACAGACAGACAGTCAGACACTGAAAGAGCCAGGCATGGCCCAGTGGAAGTTGACCCAGTGCGAGGCGTACATAAATGACCCTGGTGGTAGGGCTGGGCGTGGGGCTGGCGTGGACACTAGGATGGTGGTGAGGCCCCCACCAGGACCAGTCCTGGTCTTTCCTCCTCAGGCACAGAACAACGAGGAGGGCATGAGACTGATGGAGGACCTGGGCCACAGGTGCCAGGACGTCCACCTCTGGTGGGTCGGGCCCATCTTCCCGATCCTGAGGCTCGTCCACCCCAAGTTCGTCGCCCCCCTGCTCCAGGCCCCAGGTATGTGTCAGCACCCCAAGCCCTAGCTTGGCTCTCCCTTGTTAGTCCTGTGTGTCCCCTGCACCCTGGCTGCCTCTGACAGGAGGGAGCCCAAGCTGGAGGGCTTTGGGAGGCAGTGGCCGTGCAGAGTATCGTAGGGGATGACCCCACAGCCCCCATAGGGCACACTTAGATCGGGACAGAGTATCTCGGTCCCCGTCACCCATGTGTGGTGCCGGGGCAGGCCATGTCTGTCACATGCCTAACAAGTCACAGTAGCACACGCTGCATTCATGTCCTGTGCCCGGTGTGTGTCAGGAGATGCCATGCAGGCATGGGGCAGACGGGTGTCCTGGGTCCCTGTGATGGTGCCGTAGAGTTCAGAGCCTTGCGTGGTGTCCCATACTGTGTGGGACCCGGAAGGCGTCCTGCTTCCTCCTCCACCCGGCTGCTGCGGCCTGATCAGGTCCCCTTCTTGCATCCGATCTCCCCGATGCCTCCGACCTGGCTCCCTTCCTCCCGTGCTGGGCTGGGAGGGAGGAACTGCAGAGCCTTGGCTCTGAGCTTTCGTTTCCTCTGGGCGCTGTGGTCCCTGATGGCTCCTGTCCACATCAGCTGCGGTGGCACCCAAGGACATGATCTTCTACAGCTTCCTGAAGCCCTGGCTGGGTGAGTCCCTGCAGGGGAAGGGGCCCGGGGACAGCCCGGGGGCCCAGGGAAGGAGCTGCCCTTGCCCACTGCCCACGGCTGCCCCGCAGGGGATGGGCTCCTGCTGAGTGCTGGTGACAAGTGGAGCCGCCACCGTCGCATGCTGACGCCTGCCTTCCACTTTGACATCCTGAAGCCCTATGTGAAGATCTTCAACCAGAGTGTGGACATCATGCACGTGGGTTTCTCCAGCTTGAGGCTCCACTGGGCTCTGGGAAAGCAGGGGTGGCCTCAGACAGACCTGGTCTGCCATCCTGTCTCTGCTGGGTGGCTTGGGCATGCTTTTCTTCCCCAAGACTTGGTTTTCTCATCTGTAAAATGGGAATTATACTCTACCTCCACACAATGTCATGGGCCCAGCGTGTAGTAGGTGCTAGGGAGACCTTTGTTTCTAGTGTCCGTCATGAAAGCTCTAGATACTCAACACAGCAGTGTTAAAGACCTTGGAGTAGCCCTTTCAGTGTGGCACATTACTTTAAAAGGTATGGGCCCTTGGCCTCCTCCATTTCTTTCTCAATCTCTCTTTGGCACCGAGAATCAAATTCAGGACCTTGTGCTTTCCAGGTAGGTGCTTGCACCATTGAGCTATGTCCCTGGCCTCTGTTTGTTTCTGACCTTGCAGGAACATGGCCTGGTCTTGCTAGCATGGAAGAGCCTGGGTTCCAAAAGAGAGAACAGCCGCATTTGGTGCCTCTTGATCCCCAGAACCAGGACTAGACCACTAGGATTATGCCCTCTTTTCTTGGCTAAAGCAAGTCCTAGGTGCAGCACAGAGTCCAGAGATGGAGAAAGAGGCCTCGCCTCCCTGCGGAAAAGGCTGTAAAGTCTCACTTCAAAAAGGGGGTGGAGAGAGGGTGAAAAAACTAGACACTTCTCCACTCCTCTACCGCTCGGCTGAGGACAGAGTGGCCACGGCAGCCCACACTTACTGAGCATTTCCTGGGCACCAGAAATAATACGGCAGGCCCACGATTTATGCATCTTATAATCTTCACACTGCTGTAAAGTAGAGATGTTTGTGGTTGCCGTATTCTGGACGATGAAAGTCAGGGTCAGAGAGATTAGAGAGCTTGTCTCCCTGTCCTGGGTGTTAGAGGCCAATTTAACTGTTGTCGGATCTTCATCTCTGGACAGTAACCACCCAACCCAGTTCCCCTGGGGTCGGCAGGCCAGTTCTGGAGAGGCCATCCTGGTGTTTGGAGTTAAGGAGGCCTCAAGGGAGCCAAGGCCCAGACCCATCTCTGTCCCCTTCTCTGGCCAGGCCAAGTGGAAGCACCTAGCCTCAGAGGGCAGCGCCCGCCTGGACATGTTTGAGCACATCAGCCTGATGACCCTAGACAGTCTGCAGAAATGCGTGTTCAGCTTTGAAAGCAACTGTCAGGAGTGAGTCCTTGCCCTGGGTGGAACCCTGGGCCGTGGAGACAAGGAGGAGGCTGTGGGGAGGGAGGACTGACTGGAAAGGGACCAGAGGATCCTCCTTGGCGGAGGTGGGTCGGACCTAGGCACCGAGCGACAGGGAAGAGAAGGGAGAGTGGTCCTCGCAGGTGGGTGGGATGGTTTGCATAAAGCCAAGGAGGCTCGCATGAGCAGATCCTGTGCACCTGGGAGATGAGCTGGAGAGGAGGCGGGCAGTGGCTAGATCCTAAGGCCGCTGAGAAACCTGTCAGAGCTTGACCCTGAAGTTTCCAGGCCACCGTGAATGGTGTCTGAGGAGACCAAAGTCACAGTCAGAGGTGAGCGTGGTTGCAGACACAGGATACAAGGAAACCTGGGTGGAGGAAGAGGAGGAAGAGGTCTGAGCCCAGTGGAGAGCACGGCAAAGATTTGGAAGGAGCCATGGAGACTGGGCACGACCAGCTGCTGGAGTCTGGCCGGGAGGTGCTCCAGGGTCTCCTGGCTGTGGTGGTGGACGGACGACTGGCGGTCAACTTGTCACACCAGCTGACCTGAGTCAGCGGGGTACTGGGGTGGAGGTCCCACCTGAGGGTTGTGGCCAGGACCACAAAAAAGAACTGCAGAGGACGAGCTGTGGATCTCCTGGAGGACACTGTCAAGCTTCTTCCCTGCCATGAACTTGGCTGTTCTCACCAGAGGAGCTCCAGGCCTTGTTGGTGAGGGTGGCTGTGGCTCACCTTGGGGGAGCTCTGGTCCTTACATCGAGCATCGCTTCCTGGCTCCGGAGGGGAAGATGGTGCTGATCAGTCCCCAGGAGGAGCTCGTCACGCTGGCTTCCTGATATGAACCTGGCTGTTCTCATCATCAGAGGAGCTCAGGGCCTGATTGTCACTGAGGATGGTGGTGGTGATTTTCAGGGCAGCCCTGGTCCTTATTTTGAGCGTTGCTTCCTGGCTCCAGTGCAGATCCCTCGGCCTGCTGGCACAGCTCCTTCACCCCCTGGCACAGCCTTCTGGCTCCCACCGCTGACCTTGGGGCCCTCCCAGGGCAGATCCGTGCAACAGACTTGCATGGATCATTGTCATGGGCTCTCGGTCTTCAGCTGGACTGGGGTCTTTAATGTGTGGACAGATTTCCCGCACTTGTATGTGTGTGTGTGTGTGTGTTTGACTCTTGGAGTGACCTCCATAAATAATCCTACACATGATGTACCCCGTATTAAACTGCTCCCCTTGCAAGCCCTGCTGACAATGGCTAGGAAGGGGTTGTTCCATCCTTCATCTGCCTCGCTCCCCCAGGCATCCCAGTGACTACATCGCCGCCATCTTGGAGCTCAGCTCCCTGGTCGTCAGACGGCAACGCCAGCCCCTTCAGTACTGGGACCTCCTGTACCGCCTCACCTCCGCCGGGCAGCGGTTCCGCCGGGCCTGCGACCTGGTGCACGGTTTCACAGACGCTGTCATCCGGGAGCGGCGGTGTGCTCTCGCCCGCCAGGGTGCGCATGATTTCCTGGAGGCCAAGGCCAAGGCCAAGACCCTGGACTTCATTGACATCCTCCTGCTGGCCAAGGTGGGCTTTCTAGTGGGAGCAGCGACCTTGATGTCCAGGGTCAGGCAGAAGAAGTTGAATTTGCTTCAGAGGGGATGGAGGAGCCACGGGAGGCTCCCAAGGAAGGGGAGAGGTTTTAGGGGTGAGTCTATCGAGGAAAGAGAAATAGGGGCAGGAGGCAGAAGAGGAGCAGGCCCTGGAGAAAAGGGGGGCTGCTGCTTGGATGCTGGGCCCTCATGGCCTATTTCAGCTTGGACTCAGGAGTCTCGGACCTTGTGTGGTCTGAGTGTCCTGCTTTGTCTCCAGGACAAAGACGCAAAGGAGCTGTCAGATGAGGACATACGGGCAGAGGCCGACACCTTCATGTTCGAGGGTGAGAGCCCGTGTGGGTCTGTAGATTGTGCACGGGTCTCCCCAGCCCAGGAAGGAGGCGGGTGGCCCTGGATCTCCTCTCCATCCTGTGCCTGCTTCCTCCCCGGGTCTCAATGGCTGGGCGCTGTCCACCCTGTGGTGCTGAAGCAGCTCAGAGACCAGAGCCTGCCTGGCTCTTTCTCAGGCCACGACACCACGGCCAGTGGTCTCTCCTGGGTCCTGTACAACCTGGCCAAGCACCCAGAATACCAGGAGCGCTGCCGGCAGGAGGTGCAGGAGGTCCTGAGGGGCCGAGAGTCCGAGGAGGTTGAATGGTGAGTGCGGTCCCCTCTCATGGCTCTGCTCTCCGGGGATGGGGGAAATTTTTTATGGATTCTGTGTTATTGCCTAGGTCAGAGGACCAAGGTCAGAGGCAAGCACTCGATGGGTTAGCGAGGGAAATCTTGTGTTTGATCTCTGTCAGCTCCTGGATTGTATCTTTATCTATTTTTCTTCTGGGCCACCTGTCCTTTTGTTTGTTAATTTTCTGGAATATCTTGTAAATTCTACATACGGTTCTAAATCTGCGTATTGATTGTAGACATCTCTGATGTCAGGTAATGCTCACCTGATTGTTGACGGGTCTGTGGTAACTTTTTAAAAATTACACAAAAATGCTTCCTTTTCTTGCATAATTGTCTTACGTTTTCTTTTTTTTTCTTTTTGAGACGGTCTCACTACATAGTTGAGGCTGGCCTTAAGCTTATTTTGTAGTCTGGCCTCAAACTTACAACGATCTTCCTGCTTCAGCCTCCTAAGTGCTGGCATTACAGGTGTGTACCAGTACTCCTGGTACACTTGGCTAGGTTTTTTGAATTCTTAAAAACCTTACTGCTGCTAGAGCTGGGCGTGATTTTGATTTTTCTAATGTTTCGGCTTTGTGGTCTGCCAGGATTAATTTTGTTTTAGGACTCAGGGCCAGGGGGAGGTGGTAAGAGGTCTCCCTGGGTGGCAGGGGGACAGTCGGGAGAGGCTTTGGTTTTGCTCCATAGATAATTGTTGGCGGGGGATTTCCTTAGGGATGACCTGGCCCAGCTGCCCTTCTTGACCATGTGTCTCAAGGAGAGTCTACGCCTGCACCCCCCGGTCGTAGGCATCGCCCGCTCCTGTGCCCAGGACGTTGTGCTCCCGGATGACCGGGTCATCCCCAAAGGTGCCCACATGGTCAGGGGAGGGATGTCCTAGGCAGGGTGCTGGTCCTGTGGGTCACCAGCACAGACCTCTCCTGACGCCCTCTTCTTCCTGGACAGGAGCCATCTGCATTATAAGTATCTTTGGGATTCATCACAACCCTTCGGTCTGGCCGGACCCTGAGGTGCTGCCCCTCCTTTTCTCCATTCCCCCAAAACCCTGGACCTGACTGTGGGATACCAGCTTGTCTCCCTCCGGTGGGCCACACCTGGCTTCTCCTGGGGTGGCTGGCTGAGCACAGGGAGCCCCCTCAAGCAGCCTCTTTTTCTGCCACATCCCAGGTCTATGACCCCTTCCGCTTCGACCCAGAAAACTCCCAGAAGAGGTCACCTCTGGCTTTTATTCCCTTCTCGGTGGGGTCCAGGTGAGGGCAGTGGGCTTCTGAGGTCAGGGTGGGCAGATGGGCAAACGCAGAGAAGCTGCGCATGGACAGAGGTCCAGGTCTGCTTTCCGCTGCTCCTGCAAAGGTTTGGGTGACAGGACTGGGTGGGTGCAGTTGGGCCCAAGCACCGTGAGCGCCTCTCGCAGTCCCTGAGCTGACCAGCACGGTCACAGTCCCCTCTCCGCCCACAGGAACTGCATCGGGCAGACCTTCGCCATGGCCGAGATGAAGGTGGCGCTGGCGATGACCCTGCTGCGCTTCCGCGTGCTGCCGGATGCCGCAGAGCCGCGCAGGAAGCCGGAGCTGATCCTGCGCGCGGAGGGCGGGCTGTGGCTGCGGGTGGAGCCGCTGAGCGCGCGTGCGCAGTGAGCCCCTGATGACCCCGCCCCCTCGCCTTTGCAGATTTAGAAATAAACTGTGCGTGGTCTCCTGTGTGTGATTCTCAGCGGGTGCCAGCAGGGGGAGCTGGGGAGCGGTGGGCGGATGTGAAGCGGGGAGGAGCAAGGCTGGGGCCCCTGAGCCCAAGACCCTGCTGCCTCTGGCTGAGCGCAGGGTCCCTGCTGACCGTGGGAGCCATGGGAGGTGTTTGAGCGGAGGAGCAATCAGAGTTAAGCGCAGGCCTGAGGCTCAGAGTCCTGGAGTGGAAGCCTTATTTGCACACACGACTGCATTCTGATCCTCTTTCCTCCTTTTAAAAGTCTTCATTGTTTCTCTCTTCGTTCCCTTTACGAGGATATAGTGACCTTCTTTGTCCCTTTTGAGCAGTCGTGGCTTGAAATCCACTTTGTCTGTAAACGGAATAGCTGCCCTTGCTTTTTTTTTCTCCCCAGCTGCCTGTTGCATGTAATATTGTTCCCCATCCTTGGACTTTTAGCCTGTGAATTTCTTTTTGAATTAAATGTGTTTCTTGTGTGCAGCACATCGTTGGGCCTTGTTTCCTGGTCCATTCTGCCAGTCTGTTTCTTTTGGTTGAGGAATCAAGACCATTAACGTTGGCAGTTATAACTGATAGGTATTGACTTATCCTTGTCACGTTATTTGCCTGTTGTTGGCTCCCCCCTTTTCCCCTTCTCTCTCTAATTGCTTGCCTTCCCTGGTGGATTCCTTCCGCTGGGGTTCATGGAGCTGTTGTCCTTATTATCTCTTTCTAGAATGTCCTTCAGAACATTTTGGGGTGCTGGTTTGGTGGTCATACATTTCCTGTGATGTTCTTGGTCATAGAAGTCTCTTATTTCTCCATCAGTTTTGAACTATAGTTTTGTGGGGGTACATTAATCTGGGCTGGAGCTTGTTTTTTATGGTTTGAAATACCTCATTCCAAGCTCTCCTTGACCTGAGGGTTTGTGTTGAGAAGTCAGTTGTGATTCTGATCGGTTTTCCTTTATAGGTGATCTGTTTCTTTTCTCAAACAACTTTTAGTATTCGGTTCTTGTGTTGAATTTCTGGACTCTTGATTACGATGTGCCTAGCTGTAGTTTTTTAAACATGGTTAATTGGAGTCATGTATGCCTCAGTTATCTTATGTCAAATTAGTTTTCCCGGCCAGGGTAGTTTTCTGTCATGTTTGTGAACATATCTGGGTTATCTCCTGCTTTTTCATCAGTTCCAGTCTGTTTTATGTTATTCTTCTTTGCATCATCTAGCAGTTAGTGGATGTATTTCTCATGATCCCTGGGTGTTTTTAAGGAATCTTTCTTTCATGTTAATGGTCTTGATTCCTCAACCAAAAGAAACAGACTGGCAGAATGGACCAAGAAACAAGATCCAACGATGTGCTGCACACAAGAAACACATTTAATTCAAAAAGAAATTCACAGGCTAAAAGTCAAAGGATGGAAAATAACACTCCATGCAAGCCTGTTTTCTGTGCCTGAGAGTCTGTGGTTTATTCTGCTGAGGACATTTTCAATGCAATTTTAGTCCCCTGGAAAACTGTTTGAATCTGTTTTATGAATTCTATTTCTTTCCTATGTTGGGCATTCATGGTTTTCATCATTCCCCTCAGCTCCTCTGTATCTGTATCTGCTTTTAGAGTCACTGAGCATGGTCTTCATTGTGCTCATCATCTCTGAGTTATCTTAGAAATCATTTCTGATTTGGTTTTTTCATAAAACCTCTCCCATCAGAGAGGCTGGGTGGGCGGCCCTCAGACTGTCCCACCTCCTTGCCCCTGGCTTTGCCTTTGGTGAACTGGTTGGGTGGGGTTGCATCTTGTTGAAGTATCTTCTCATTTTTTAAAAAGTTTGATTCCTGATGCTTGTAAGTTACCTGGGGTGAGTACTTGACTGCTAGTACTTTAGAACCCTTAAGAAATGACTACTTCTCAGAAGCATCTTCTGGGTTTTGAGTCTGTTGCAAGATCTCATCTCTTCAATTTGTCAGGGCTGAGAAGTTGCTGTCTACTTGGCCCGCCCCCCCCATCACTGGTTCTTTGGCACCAGCCTATGGTACTTTTTATGAACCTTTACACAATCTAGGTCTTGGTCTACCAGGAAGAACAGGTGGTTAGCACAGTTTTTAGCTTTGGCTAAACTGGTACAACCAGCAGTAACAATAGCATCCAACACAGCCTAGAAAATGACAGAGCTAACCATTAATTTGCTACCTTTGACTGTACGACCTAGATTTGCAGTTACAAAACAAAATCTTACAGTAACTAGTGATTTCCTACTGTTTATTTTTTTCCTGAAATTCTGTATAACTTGTACCCTTTTTCTGCTTTTTTTTTCTCTTTTTCTCCTTAAATAAAAAAAAAAAAAACCTAAAATGAGCTAGAAAACTGTATGCAGTAAATAAGCCTTCAATATGCCAAATTTACCCTTAGGGGAGAAAAATAGAGAAATAGATTCAAACAGGAGTTTAAAGAGATGTCTTTCTATGGTCTGTTGGCCATTTCAGAACGTGGGCAGTGAAATGATCAATTCATTAGAAAGAAACAGCTTGAAGCAACCCCCCACCCGTGAGTGGCTGTGAGTGTGGCAGGCTCTGGTGGCCCAGGACGGGAGCCACGGCGTTTACTGGGACCCACGCCATGCCGGGACCTGGACAGCAGGGGAACCAAGCAACCCCTGACCCCCTGCCTGTTTTATTTTGTTGAACTTCAATATACATGAAAGTATGGACAGCTGTTTTGAAGAGAACAAGAGACTCTACGACAGCCATTAGTGACTTCTCTGTTGTCTGGTTCTGAAGACATAAAACACCTTCCTCATTCTGTTCAGATCAGTTTTATACTATGTTGCTTTGTATGAATTCTCTGTATGCAAAGACATGCACAACTATTTGGAAGAAAACAAGAGACAATATGATAGACAGAGAAGACCTCAGGTCATCCGCTTTGAAATTAACGTCTCTTCCATTGCTTTCTTATGCCCTATTTTGCTCTGTCTTGCTGTGTTTAATTTTACCCCCTTTTTAAAAAAAGGACATAGAGGGAGAGTGAGGGATGAGGAGCAAGGCTGGAGGACAGAGGAGGACCGTGCAAACTTTGGGAACCCGGTGCAGAAGACGGGAGGGAAAGAGAGGAAGAAGAAATAAGAGGGGGAACAGAACCAAATAACAGGCACGCAAGAAAATGCAAACCAAGATAGCACTCATATGAAAACAAGCTTGAACAATGGCAAAACAAAAACAAAACAATCAAGAAAAGGGAGATAGAGCGGTGGGGGAGGAAGATCCCTTGAGTTCCTCTCTGCTGTCGTGGGTAGACAATACGGGGAGACGGAGCTCAGATCCGTGTTGATTTATCCCAGCAGGCCAGCAGCGGGTGGATGATCTCAGCGAGCCTGAAGGTCAGGCTGGTTTCTGGCTGTGAGCTGGGACCAGGCCCATTCAGCCTGCAGCCATCAGTGCACCTTCTCTGGGCTCGAACTCAGCTGGGAGCTGCTGAATGGAGCCAGCCGTTGATGGCATGACAATGACTCATGCAGGTCTGTTTTTATGGCTCTGCATAGGGAAGGCAGAGGTCAGCGGTGGAAGCTAGAAAGTCTGTGCCAGCTGGGTGAAGGAGCTTTGCCAGCAGCTGAGGATCTGCCCTGGAGCCAGGAAGCAGTGCTCAAAATAAGGACCAGGAAAAAAAAAAAAAAAAAAGAAAAGAAAAAAAAAAAAGGACCAGGGCTCCCCTGGAAAGCACCACCACCATCCTCAGTGACAGTCAGGCCCTGAGCTCCTCTGATGATAACAGCCAGGTTCATATCAGGAAGCCAGCGTGACGAGCTCCTCCTGGGGATTGAACAGCACCATCTTCCCCTCCCAGCCAGGAAGCGATGCTCAATGTAAGGACCAGAGCTCCTGCAAAGTGGACCACAGCCACCCTCACCAACAAGGTCCTGAGCTCCTCTGATGACGGTGGCTGAGTTCATATCAGGGGAACCAGCATGACGAGCTCCTCCAGGAGAACCAACGGCTCAAACAGCAACATGTAGGAGAACCCACAATGCCCAGATCTTCCTCTCCATGTCTTTTATGCTGGCAACCTTCCTCAGGTGGCCATCTGTGCTCAGCACCATGCTGATTTAATCCAGCTGGTGTTAAACTGACCACCAGGTTTTAGTCCGTACCAGTAGGGGTGATTGTTGCCTGTGAGTTTGTCAATTTCTAGGGCATGACTGCTTCATAGAATCTGAGGAAGAGGCTGGCATATCACCCAAAGACCTTAGACTATATAAAATAGAGGACGGATGGACTTGGGGTTTGACTCTGTCAGTGATGCTGAGTATGCTCCTTGTTTAGAAAGGAGGGCGGAGAGTGAATAGTTTGTATTAGTGACCGCTAATTTTGCATCTTTCTATCAATTTGCACTGATCCTCCTGCCTCCGCCTCCCCAATGCTGGGATTATAGGTGTGTACCACCACACCCAGCTGTCCTTCAATTTTTGATTCTCTGGCTTTGAGTGTGGGGACCACAGGTGTGCACCACCACACCTGGCTGTTTATTTTTTAAAATGGCATAGTGTTAGCAAATTTAACAGTTAATTATCTCATTTTGCAAGAATTCTATCTGTACATGCTGATGGTTGGAAGCATATACATTTTTTGTCTTTTTGAGACAGGGTCTACCTATGCAGTTCAGGCTGGCCTTGAGCTCACTTTGTAGCCCAGGCTGGTCTTGAACTCGCAGCGATCCTCCTGCCTCAGCCTCCCGAGTGCTGGGATTACAGGCGTGAGCCACCACCCTGGCCCACCAGATCACTCAGGGACCACCCAGACCCATGAAATGCTTCCTGTGTCTCCTCTGTGTAATATTACCGACAGGAAACACATTCACACACATAAAAAACAAAGCACACAGTGGAAAATATTCTTCCTTTGCTCCTTTCTTCCTCTGCGGGTGAACATTATTTTTGATCTTTTCGTAGTATGCTCAGGAAAACAATATTTGAATATGGTTCCCCTCTGTCCCGTTTTGAAATTGCATTTAAATTTTTTGAAAG